CAGACTGTGCGCAGTTTGCTATCTGGGATGGTTTATATTGTTGTAAAATGATGGAAATTAAGGCCAGTGCGTTGCTATGCATAAACTCGTTACGAGCACACCATGTCTACTTGCATCATGGACAGTTGTATGTATTGAGCTTGATGTATAATTATAGTCAATTATAGTAAAAAGCAAAAGTGCAATTATATAGCGCGCGCAAAGCGCGCGTCTGTAGTGCTTGTAAAAGATAAAACCGAGGATAAAAGGGATATTTTTGACATATGGACATATTTCGGAAATTATGGAAATATAATTATATATTTTTTCACTATATATTAATACATTAAGAGCTTATTAACGCAAAAATTTTAAACTTGCATGATAATTGGATTAGTGTCATTAACCTGAATTTTTAATAATTGAAATGAGATAGAGCGATTAAGTCACACGTGGTGAATTACCTTTTCGCATACGGCTACAGTAGTTGCATGAAACCTGGCTAATGTGCGAAGTGTCAATATGGAATGAGCTAGGTCAAGTCCAGTCATACGATCGGCTAAGCGATAGCCGAGGGGCGTGAGATCCTCCATCGCCAGAAGCACTGGATGTTCATTTTGCACGTACAGACACTTTCCGCTTATGCGATGCTTTGGCCCTAATAACTTATTCATTTTAACCAAGGTATCTGACATCATCGATATCTCTCTAAAAAAGGTAACTGTAGTCTGTAACAAATTTATTAAATTAAGAATCCCAGGTTCAAACCCTGATAGAGATAATATTTTTCTCGCAATAAGTTCTTTTCAGTATTTTAAGACGCTTATAAGAAAATCATCAATAAATCATTTATTAAGAATTAAAGATTAATATGCTCTCTCTATTCTAGCCTCAGCTAATGATTGCATTGCAAGTCGAGAATTGATTCAGAGCGCAATTTAAATGGATGAATAATGGAATCAAAGAAATTCAAAAATATAAAATTTATTAGGCACCAAGAGTCAGCCGTAAAAGATGTTCTCAAATTTAATTGTGTATTCGCATATTCGGTCTAGTTCAAATTATAATTATTGTTTAAATTAAAAATATTATTGGGCAATCAACATCTAGCCTCGGCCAAATTTGGCTCTTTTACACTCACTTACTTGTATACATATATCGGTCTTGTTTGAAATTATTGTTTAAATAGAAAGTTTCGCCTTGTCGAATGGCAAATAAATACTAATTTTTTTACAAATTAAAATATATTCTAAAACGATTGAAAAATGTTTTTGTTAAATATATGTTTTTTTTTAATGTTTTTAAAAATAATATTAAAAAAATTAAAATATTAAAACAATTATTTTTAATTATTAATTACTAAAAAATAATTGTACTAATTTTTTTATTAAACGAAAATCTACAAAATAATAAAAAGTGCCTCAATTTGATCTTTCTCTCTCTCTTTCTCTGCCCTCCTCCCCTTCCTCTCCTGTATTAGAAACATTATACTATATAAGTTAAATTGACTTACAAGCTGCCGTCGAATACCTTCGAACGGCAAGGGTTTGATGATGATTGATTTCTTTTCTATAATCTTACGGTCGCCTTGATCACGAGAAAATTCGACAGTAGTCCTCATTAAGTCGCTGGTGTAGTTTTCACCCTTACTCACGACCGGGTTTGAGAACATATCGATCACCTGAATCGAATTGTCGTCTTCCGACTTTCGCAACATGTTCTCCACGAAGCATTGATTCAGCCATGAGTGTGTCTCTGCGGCCATTTCTGAAATTATAATTGAAATTAGAAAACTTCTCCGATAAATTATTGTTCTTCGCCGTGTTACGAAAGACAAATCACAAAAGCAGTTCTTCACTAATGACTACGTTTACACGTTACCATTAATCAGATTTAGTCCTTAGTTACGAACTGACATAAAATTCTGTATAAACGCTAATTAAATCGATTTTATTACACCAGTTATCATGAACTGGATTTAATTAGTATTTTAACTAGCGATATTTCACGTTAGCAATTATAACTATTATTGACATGTAAACGTAGCGAATTAATTATTGTTTATTGCAAGATTTATCACGTTCCTTTTTCTTTTTTTCTGACTCCTATTCATTTTTTTCCCCTTTTCCCTTTCTTTCATTGTTCCTCTTCTCCCATTATTTTTATGTACTTTACACCTTTTCGTAACGTTTTTTTTCAAACGTAATCAAATTGCAGCATTTGCAAGAAATTTACGATAAATCTTAGCGCGTCAAACTAGCGCGTCGCAATCTCTTTATTCGTGATCGAGCAATATCGGTCGTATTTTTCTTTGAGAAGAGTTCTTAAAATTATTTTTTGTAGCTTATTTGGAAACAAATCCGTCCGCCATTAGACAAATATTTAACAAACTGAATATTTAATTAACTAAATATAAGCGCGCATCGGGACAACTTGGCGTTCGAATGAGAGAAAAAAGTTAGAAGACAAAAAAATAGTATTCGAATTTATAAAAACAACTTAATTGTATTAAGTTATTCAACTCATCAGTATTTGAGAGTTTACTTGGTTGCATTCAGTACTACAACCGCTCATTGAATGACTAACAATAAGTAGTATAAGTCGATTGATTTTTATTGTCAGATTTAACCAATCACATTATATTGCTATATACTTAAGGTAGTACACTCGCAAATTCAAAATATTGAGAATTTCTTGAAATTGAAACTATATGTTGTACTAGAAGTCGTTGACACGCTTGTGCAATTAGAATGAGATTGACCATCTCAATACTGAGATATAAGCCTGTCTCTTATACACATCTCTGA